GCTTTAAAAATTGCAGGTGGCCATTTCTGAAGAAGCTCTGATATCCACACCCTTTCAGAGTTAGTATTATAATCTGCAATCTTATCGCCTACTGGTTTGATATGGCAGGCAAATTACCCCCTCTGTTTTTTTTTTTTTAATTGTGTGGGTTTGAAATGCATCACCAAATGTCTAATGGTCACAACTCTATTCGACTGGATTCCTTCCAACCCTTAAGAAGGAACAAGATTGATGTGAAACACAATAGATTCTTGCAAGCCTCTCGGTGGGAAGATCCAAGATGTTTGCCAAGCTTCTGCCCACAGATACAATCCTTGAGCCAAGAATAACCGCTGATGGACAGGACTTCCTAGCTACTTCACCATCTGGTCTCCATTCCCATTTTACCAACCCTGATCTGATTTTCTGGTGATGTTTGGCTGAAAGCATGGCATCTCTCATTCGTTGCAAGAAAAGACAAGGAAGGATAAGAATGTTTTGTCCTCACCTTCTACTGGTACAGGAATAAACAACTTATTTTGCAAACTTATAAAGAAAGGAATTGTGTGTATGTGGGGGGTCAGCATACCATATCAGGCAACATCTATGCTCCCTGAGCAATTATTTATCAGCTAATACGAGCTGAGAGTCCCCATGCTGCTCCTGCCGATTGAAATTTCATTTCTTTCCTTGGACTTTCTCAGTGGGAGAATAACAACCTCACTAACCCTGGAAAATGACACAGACCCTATATTTGAAGCGAAGGCTTCCCATAGTTATTGCAACAGAGTGGGGAAAAGCAGATGAATGAACTGGTACATTCCTGTGAAAATGGCATAATGCAGGCTGTATAAAATTTGCTAGGAAGTTTACTTGCTGAATTCACTGGAACTTCCTCATGAGTAAATCACCTTCTTTGTTTGATGCCTTGTTTCTATGTTATTTATTTGAAGTAGTTTTGTTATGTTCCACAGAGTTCTAGGCAATTCACAACTATACAAATATAGACGACATTTTAAAAAATTGGCATCACAGCAGTGAAAATCAGTAGCAACACTTAGGGTGTATTTAACATATTGAAGCATTTATTTGATACAGATAAAAAAATAATATATGTTGCTAGCCCTCTAAAAAAAGAAAGATTGCTACCATTTTCAAGAAGTTAAATAGGCCTTCTTTGGAAGGAAGAACAAGTGCTTTGATATGGCTGTTAAAAAGCTATCTTCTCTCTTATCTTATCTACTATCTTAGTAGACCAGCGAAATACTGTGGACATAATATACTTAGACTTCAGCAAGGCATTCGACATGGTAGACCACAACCTACTTCTTGCTAAACTAGAAAAAGCTGAGATAGATAGCATCACCATTAGATGGATTTGTAACTGTCTGACAAACTGTACTCAACAAGTAGTCCTTAATGGTACTATATCTACATGGAGGGAAATAAGCAGTGGGATACCACAAGGTTTTGTCCTAGGCCCAGTACATTTCAATATCTTCATAAATGACTTAGATGAGGGAATAGAAGGGGAACTTACCAAATTTGCAGATGATACTAAGCTGGCAGGAATAGCTAACACCCTAGAAGATAGGCTCAAGATCCAGATGGATCTTGACAGACTTGAACACTGGACCCTATCTAACAAAATGAAATTCAATGTAGAGAAAAGTAAAGTCTTACACTTAGGTAAGAAAAACCAAAAGCACACATATAAACTGGGTGAAACCAGGTTTAATAGCAGTAACTGTGAGATCGATCTTGGAGTCTTAGCGGACAATCAATTAAATATAAGCCAACAGTGTGCGGCAGTAGTCAAAAAAGCCAATGCAATCCTAAATTGCATTAACAGAGGGATACAATCAAGATCAAGTGAGGTACTAATACCACTCTATAAAACCTTAGTAAGATCACACCTAGAGTACTGCATCCAGCTTTGGTCACCATACTATAAAAAAGATGTTGGGATTCTAGAAAGACTGCAAAGAAGAGCAACCAAGATGATTAGGGGACTGGATGGCTAAAACATATGACGAATGGTTGCAGGAACTGGGCATGGCTAGTCTAGTGAAGGGAAGGACCAGGGGAGACGTGATAGCAGTCTTCCAATATTTGAAGGGCTGCCACAGAAAGGAGGAGGTCAAGCTATTTTCCAAAGCACCTGAAGGCCAGACAAGGAATAATGTATGGAAACTGAACAAGGAGAGATTCAACCTGGAAATAAGGAGAAATTTTCTGACAGTGAGAACAATCAACCCATTGAACAGAAATTGCCTTCAGAAGGTGTGGGAGCTTCATTGCTGGAAGCTTTCAAGAAGAACCTGGACTGCCACCTGTCAAAAATGGTGTATGGTCTTCTTGGGTGGGGGGTTAGACTAGATGACCTACAAGGTCCCTTCCAACTCTATTAATCTGTAATCTCTTCTCTCCATGAGATGTTTTCAGGGGTTGCAGGGAGATATAAAGAGGCTTCCTAGCAAGATCTCCATGAACAATGTGATCAGTGACACGTCTTGGTCTCAAAGGTCATCAATTGCCTTATATGTTGGATGCAAAACAAATTGGTCTCCAGGCCAATTCCCCCAATGTGACAAATCTTTGGTGAGGCTTTGGGGTTGAAACTACTCCTGGGAAGTATAGGTTAGAAGAAGCATTCTCTTATAGCAGGAAGTCTTAACTTTTTTGTTCCATGGATCCAGTGGTGGGTTGCCCTCGGTTCAGACTGGTTTGCAAAAACCAGTAGTAAAACTGGTGGGAGGCTCTGCCCACTGACCCGGACATTATAATAGGTGATCTGCACATGTGCAGAAGCTTCTGCGCATGTGCAGAAGAGCGCAGGTGTGCGTGAGCAAAGCGTGAGGGCGCAGGCGTGATGCAAACTGGTAGTAAAGGTAAGTAGAAACCATCCCTGCATGGATCCTTCTGAGAGTTTGATGAAACCTATGGATCTAAACTACACTCAGATACAGTCCTCAAAATATTAAAACATGACAAAATAAATTAAATTGCAGATATTTTCCCCCTCCAATTTCTTGAAACCAGAAACCCAAGTTTAGAACCTCTGACCCAGAGGATCCCTTCATTTCCCAGTAGCTGAAGTTGTTAACTACTTCTTATCCTTGCTTCATGGAAAACTCATGGAAAGAATCAGTCATGTAATGCTTTTTATACTGTTAACGTCTTAGAGAATTCCATCTTATGATTATTATGGTATTTATTGCTATTGTGTTAAAAAAAAAACCCTCCCTTTTTACGACCTTGTAATCTCTTAATTCATGGTAGAGTTCAGGATGACTGGAAGGAGCTGAACAGTTACTGGCCGGATGCCTTTCCTGATGCCCCATGGAATTCACAGAAGTTATTTTTTGTGGCCTAGGAAAGAAACATCTGCTGTTAGCTAGGACTGAACTCTCAACTTTCCGAGTGGGAGGTGAGAATCTTTACCACTAGGCCACCACACCGATTATTTATTCCTATTGCATTGTTTGACATTAATCATATCATATGATAATCAGTGGTGGAATGCTGCCGGTTTACCAACCAGATCGCTGAGTGCACGCTTTGCGCATGGATGTGCCTAAAGCGCCTCTGTGCAGCGCTGAAAATGGAGCATTTAGAAGCTCAGCTACTTACCTTCCAAGTCAGCAACAGCTGTGCCACGTGATTGAGATGAGCTACAAAGCAGGAAATAAAGGACAGGGGGCGGGGCGGGTGGGCGGGGCCAACTGATCATCGGCGCTACCGTTTCACCCGAACTGGCCCGATATGGCTGAATACCACCTCTGATGATAATCTCATCCTTTTTCTCAAAACAATGGAGATGGGATTTCCCCCCCCCCCAGTCCTATGAGATAATTGTTGGCCCAAAGAAGTCTTCCAATCAAGTGGGACATAATCAAGTGGCATCTTTTTGGATTCCCTTGTACTCTTTACATTGTGCTGCCTCTTTTTAAATCTTTAATCCTTGAAAATGTTAGGTATTTCATTATCAGCAGCAACAACAACAACATCAGTGCTTTTCCAATTTAGCAACTTTAAGATATGTGGACTTCAGCTACCTAAATTCCACAAGCAGCATACTGGCTGGGGAATTCTGGAGTTTATTTTATTTATTTATTTTTTATTAATCATATTTCTATGCCGCCCACTCTCTGAGGACTCTGGGCGGCTTACAACAATCAACAGTATACTAAATAGCATATTGCCCCCAACAATCTGAGTCCTCATTTTACCCACCTCAGAAGGATGGAAGGCTGAGTCAACCTTGAGCCGGTGAGATTTGATCCGCTGATCTGCTGAACTAGCAGTCAGCTGAAGTAGCTGCAGTACAGCACGCTAACCACTGCGCCACCTTGGCTCTTAGTTGAAACCTACACATCTTAATGTTGTCAAGATCACCACCAACATCATTACATGTTACATTTGAATGTTGTGCGGATTAGTCTTGACCCAAATACAGAAAGTTGCAATTTCTTTTACAGGCTGCATAACAGGGGTGAAATTCACAATTTTTCCCTATCAGTTCTGTGGGCATGGCAGGGGAAGGATACTGCAAAATCTCCACTCCCTCCCCTACTGGGGAAAAGATATTGCAAAATCTCCATTCCCAGCCCACTCTGGGGCCAGCCAGAGGTGGTATTTGCCGGTTCTCCAAACTACTCAAATTTTCCGCTACCGGTTCTCCAGAACCTGTCAGAACCTGCTGGATTTCACCCCTGCTGCGTAAGGATTAAAAAGTTGCTTTTAGAAGCAAAATAAAGGCATCAGACTCTAAAGCCACAACTACAAGCCGGCCCAGCCAAAACAGGCTCTCCCAGGAGAGTTTTCATATTTGTTTTGCCTAATAATATTAACCCAAGGGGAAAAAAAAGCCAATGAGGAAAACCAAGGAGATTGAGTTGTCATCCATAGCAACCTCATTCTCAAAGGAGAGTTATTTGTGGAATCAATAACGCCGCTTTGCAGGCAGTGGATGACAAGCTGTTAACAAAACAGATTGTGGAAAAGGGACACCTTTTGATGATTATGCAAGATTAACTTTGCCATCAGGTAGTCTCTCTCTCTCCCTCTCTCTCTCCCTCCCTCTCTCCCTCTCTCTCTCTCTCTCCCTCTCTCTCTCTCTCTCCCTCCCTCTCTCCCTCCCTCCCTCCCCCCCCTCTCTCTCTGGCGTGTTTCCGAGGATCTAGCCCAATAACTCCAACGCAGGATAAGTTTGATTCAAAAAGTTTTTTTTTTTTTAATTTGATTTATATGCCGCCCTTCTCCGGAGACTCAGGGCGGCTTACAATGCTTTAAGCAATAGCCTTCATTCTTTTGTATATTTTATACAAAGTCAGCTTATTGCCCCCACAAACTGGGTCCTCATTTCACCTCCCTTAGAAAGGATGTAAGGCTGAGTCAACCTTGAGCCTTGGAGAGATTTGAACCAGCAGAAATTGCAGGCAGCTGTGTTAATAACAGGGTGCACTAAACCACTGTACTATCAAGGCCTGTCAGGAATTTATTTACATCTTACTTATCTCTTACAGGTGAACATCTGGAATGGCGCTGGACTCTTGGACAATACCTTATATACCTGGGAGATGGAGTCAAGGTGAGGAGGGGTCAAGGGAAAGGCTAGGTGGGATGGATAGTGTTAACCCTTGCCCTGCTATGGGTGCACAGTGTTAGGCATTTGTATGTAACTCTCTCTCTCTCTCTCTCTCTCTCTCTCTCTCTCTCTCCCTCCCTCCCTCTCTCCCTCCCTCCCTCTCTCTCTCTCACACACACACTGCTTAACATTTCTCTCTTCTCTGTCTTGCTATCTCAGCATAAAAGCCCAATAATGGGGGAAGAGTTTGGGTTTACTTGGGTTTTTGTTTCTCTTCCCATCTGTCTCTTCTAGGCTTCCCTATTTTCTGTTTTGATTATGCAAAATCGGCCAATATTTCTCATTAAATTGTACGTGTTCTTAATTAATCAAATATTACTGTTGGTTTCATTTATTTATTTGTATGTTGCTCCACTCCAGCAAGTCTCTGTGTGGTATACAACAGAAACAAAGCCAGTAACCCTGGATATATTTTACAAAAGCTCTAATCAGCAAAGGTTGATCGTCATTACCCAGCATTACTTTAAATCAGTGGTTCCCAACCTTTTTTTGACCATGCCCCACTTAAGCATCTCTAAAATCCTGATGCCCCCCCCCCCGTGACATATAATTCTTACTATTCAAAAAGTGACTCCTACTCACACGGAGGAAGCCTAAAAGGCCATTAACTTGGTTTAAACAAGGTTCCAATCAGGGGTGGGTTCCAGTTATTTTTACTACTGGTTCGCAACGGGAGTGCGCGTGTGCGCTTCCTTTGCTCGCGCACACACGCATGCTTCTGCACATGTGCAGATTACACATGATGATGTCATGGCGAGTGGGCGGAGCCTCCTGCCGGTTTTATTACTGGTTCTATAGAACTGGACCGAACCAGGAGCAACCCACCACTGGTTCCAATTGCCCCCATTAAAAATCAAATTGCCCCCCTGTGGGGCGTGAACCCCACGTTGGGAATCACTGCTTTAAATGCTCTCTTTCAGGTTTCTAAGGTTTCTCCTCAGAAACTTAACATAGAGGAAATTTGAGGAATCAATCTCTTCCAAATTATGTTCCTGATCCATTTAGATCTATAAGAACAGACTTGCCCAGATCCTATCTATTATGGAGTGCCATGTGTTATCATGCCACACAGTTTCTGAAATATAATTCTATAATTCCCATAGAGATTAGCCTGGCCCTGACCCTGTTGGACTTTTGCAAGGTGCTAAAGACGTTTTCTCATTAGGCCTGAGGGTCAGGATTTATGGCTGAGTCAATACAAAAGTTATGTTGATTTGTCATTGATGAGTTGGTTTGTACACCAGCTTTGGTTTATATGTATGCTATCATATCCTTTAAAAAAAAACCAAAACTTTATGCTGTCCTTAAATTTGGTTAGCTGCCCAGAGTCATGAATTTGAGATGTGCAGCCATATAAGATTGATTGATTCATTGATTGACTGACTGACTGACTGACTGACTGAATGAATGAATGAATATGGCATGGGGGGCAACCTTTTTCAGAGAAAGGGTGCACCATTGAAAAGACCCACATTTGGGACTCCCATGGATTTCCTATTTTCCAAAGCATCTGAAGGCCACACAAGGAATAATCAATGGAAACTGATCAAGGAGAGATTCAACCTGGAAAATAAGGAGAAATTTTCTGACAGTGAGAACAATCAACCAATGGAACAGCTTACTTTCAGAAGTTGTGGACCACCAAAATTTTCTCGCGGACCACCGGTGGTCCACGGACCACCGGTTGGTGACCACTGCTGTAGAGACCTGTGACTTCCAAGCACAAATGTTTGGGGAGGCTCCAAATTGGAGTGCCAGCACTCCTAGAATTCTCTCATTAGCCTTACCAAATCACCATTCTGATCTCTAAATTTTTCTTGGGTGCTTAAAATCAGTAGATAGCAACATCAACATTTAACTTCATAGAAACTGTATTCTTAACCTCCCTGGTCAATTTTGCCCAGAAGAGCCTCCTTTATCCTTCCCAGTGGATGCTGCTTCATCAGAGGCTCAGAGATCAGACTGACATTGGCTCTGAAACAATTACAACTCCAAATAAGAGCAATAAATGGAACCTAAGAGGGTGGCTTTGCAGCAGGAGCAACTTCAAGAGGGCCACTCGCTTCTCATCATTCTCCAGTCACTCAGGGATGGATGGGGAAATGTGGCTAATTCTGTGATTCTACTTTCTTATTCAAGAAAGTAAAGATTCTCGAAACTCAGCATTTCAAAAGGAACCTTTTATTGAACAGGGGTGATAGCAGGGCAAAAAGAAAGCAGGCTCTGAGGGGCCCTCAGGCCATACAGTTAGAATAAAGGAATTAGAAACCCTTCCCAACAGTCCAATGTGGATTCAGCCAATCCACAGGTGCGAAGATGTTATTGTACCAGCCGCTCTGAGAAAATGATAAGGGAACTTTCGCAGGATCATCTTCCACCAGCTTTCGAGCCATGTAACCCACATGGCCCTCCCTCCCTCCCCTGACCATTACCCAAAAGGTGCGAAAATGCCAGGGTGCTTTGACGTCAGGCTGAAAGTTACAAATCAGTAAATTGCAGGATACAGGATACATAGGGAAGAAAGTAATCCAGTTTTGGTCACCACACTATAAAAAAGATGTTGAGACTCTAGAAAAAATGCAGAGGAGAACAACCAGGATGATTAGGGGACTGGAGAATAAAACATATGAAGAACTTTTACATGAACTGGGCATGGCTAGTCTAGTGAAGAGAAGGACCAGGGGAGACATGATAGCTTTCTTCCGATACTTGAGGGGCTGCCACAGAGAGGAGGGGATCAAGCTCTTTTCCAAAGCACCTGAAGGCCAGACAAGGAATAATGGATGGAAACTGACCAAGGAGAGATTCAACCTAGAAATGAGGAGGAACTTTCTGACAGTGAGAACAATCAACCCATGGAGCAGAAGTTGCCTTCGGAAGTTGTGGGAGCTTCATCGCTGGAGGCTTTCAAAAAGAGACTGGACAGCCATCTGTCAGAAATGGTGTAGGGTCTCCTGCTTGAGTGGGGGGTTGGACTAGATGACCTACAAGGTCCTATTCTATTCTATTCTATTCTATTCTATTCTATTCTATTCTATTCTATTCTATTCTATTCTATTCTATTCTATTCTATTCTATCCCATCCCATCCCATCCCATCCCATCCCATCCCATCCCATCCCATCCCATCCCATCCCATCCCCTGCAGTACAACCTTCCTAGATCTTCCAAGACAGGGGCATTTACTCTGGAGTAAGCAGTCTTGGAGACAGTATTGATGCATATTTATATGGATTCTCTCCTGGGGCTTGTCTCTGTGTGTTCTGAGTTGAGAATCCACCAAAAAAATGCAAGAAATGAGGGGTAACTACCTTGAAGGATACTTGTATTTCTGCTTTTCATTAGTGTAAGTTGGTTCACTATATATATAAAAAAAGTGAACCAAAATATCTTTGCAGAGCCTTATTGATAGTTTAAGGCAGCATTTCTCAACTTTAGCAACTTCAAGATGTCTAAACTAACTCCCAGAGCAAGCTGGCTGGGGAATTTTGAGAGCTGAAGACCAGACTTCTTAAAGTTGCCAAGTTAAGAAACATTGGTCTAAGGTTTGCACAACCTTTGCTGTGATCCCTATGTTTTTTCTGCTTTATTTTTTCCCTAAGTTAGCACCTACCTTTTTATACTCATTATTATGCTTTTAATTCTACATGCAGTCATGGCAGAGTCTTCTCACGTGTAGAAAAGTTGTGTGGAATGACATCCTCCTAACACACTGTTGAATGTCATGGAACGACAGCAAATGACCAGTTGTTTTAATTTCTTACGGTTGCATTGAACTGCCAGAGACTGTGAGTGTTGCTGTTCTGCCCCAGCTCCGGATTCCGGGAGGATATTGACACACACCAATGGTCCTTATCAAATGTATTAAGTAGCAAGAATAAACAAGACCGGCAAAGGTTGGCAACCAGCCCAGAAAGCAAGATATGATAAACCAAAATTCTCTGATAATAAATACAAGTTGTTTCCAGCAAGAAAGCACTAGCTGCATGCGACTTAAATAGGCTAAGGGAGTGGCCAATTATCCTCAAGCCCTACTCTCGAGTAGACCTCCTCCTCCTGAGTAGCCACTCCTGCCTTTTGGCAGCTCTGCGTGCCTGAGCATTGAAGAGAGGCTCCTCCACTTTGCTCTCTCCACTTGAAGGAGCCTCTGGAGGTTCTGAAGGCCCTGGCTGAGTCTCTGCCTCTGGCACCACATCCTCTTCAGCCTCCTCTCTGTCCGACGCGAGTGTTGGCTGTGCAGGCTGCTGGCGCAACACCACACCAGCCTCCTCTTCATCAGGATCAGCCATGATCCGCGCAGGCTGCTGGCGGGCCACAATAGTTGCCCCTTGATTGTTTTTTTTTTGTCAAATATCTTGAGCTCTTTGCTGTTTTGTTCATATGCACCTGTTTTTGGATATTGCCATTTGATACTGTTTTCTCCTTTCCCAATTTTTAAAACCTTGCAGCATGGATGCAAAATGACAGCAGTGTTCCAATATTTCAGGGCCTGCACACAAGGAAGCACCTGCAGGCAGGACAAGAAGCAACAGGTAGAAACTAATCAAGGAGAGAACCAACCTAGATCTAAGGAGAAATTTCCTGACAGTTAGAACAATTAATCAGTGGAACGACTGGCCTCCAGAAGCTGTGAATGCTCCAACACTGGAAGTTTTTAAGAAGAGATTGGACAACCATTTGTCTGAAATGGTATTGGATTCCTGCTTGAGCTGGGGGGGGGGGGTGGATGTTGGACTAGAAGACCTCCAATTTAGAGTTCCTTCCAACTCTGTTATTCCAACTCTGTTATGGTCTTTAAGGGGCGTGCATAAGTGCACCAGCGTGCCTACCGTTCCTGTTCTAATATTCCTTTTTACTTACTCCTTTCATGTATTCAAATTATGTTTATACTTTTACCTGTTATCTTATATATTGTTGTGACCCCGACTCCCGAGCCTGTCCTAACAGAGGAAGAGGATTCAGAAGGTGATGGGGAGGAACTGATAAGGCCTCCCTCTCCAGGACCTTCCTCTCTGGCAATGCCTCAGGTTCCATCTGAAGACCAAGAGGAACAGCCTGGGATATGCCAGGAGGAAAGCATATCGGAACAACAACAGATAGGGAGTGAGGATGATGAATCCTGGCTGGATCCCAGGCAGCGTCAGAGGGAGAAGCGTGCGCAGCAACGAAAGAGGCGTGGGAGGGCCAGAGATTGAGCTGAGTCACTGAGCCACACCCCACAAGGAATAAAAGTGGGTGTGATTGCTCTTCAGGCTTTGTGACGATCAAAGTTAAAAACTGAGAGTCACATCGCGTTGCCTGAAATCT